CGGTAAGGAGGACTTTTCTAGGCCAGCGCCTTTTGTCCCTCTGCTTTTTTATGCTATTTTGTAGACGTGTAGCTGACAGCGCCCTCTCTATCGCTCTTTGTGGAAGGCTTTATCTTGACAGTATCCACGGAAGGTGTTATAACGACGAGTCCTGACGCCGCCAGTGTTGCATTGGTGGCATCTGATGTGTGTCACCGTCGAATTATGCCCTATTGAAATCCCCAAGGAAGAACACAATAGAAAAGGCGTAATTATGGAATCCACCCGGAGGAGGGTTTATTGTGTACAAAACCTGGAGTTGCTGTCTCGGGTGGCTGCTGCCGCTGGTTGATCTCCAGCATTATCAAACTAGGTCACTTATTTCAAGAAGATTTTAAAACAGTCGATCTGGTTTAAGCAGTCTTACCCACAAAACCTGCTATTTCCATCTCTTATCTTATCGATGATATGCACAGCTCATTGGTCGAAGAATAAATAGACTGCGTCTTGCGTTCCAGGCAACAAGCCTGGTGTTATAGCCCAGTTTATTCTGACCCGACTAGTAGGCAGAAGAAGGCAAGGACCGATTCTCATCGTAAGAGCCTTTATTCAAGACAATACAGAGACAGCAGAAGAATGAATCAGCGTGTCCACTACAGCCTCTTATAAGGCGTTGGTCCTTCTAGACTGTTCCTGGCCTATCGCACCAGAGGGGAAGTTTTGTCGTGGTTTCCCACGCTGCGAGACGTTCTAGAACATTGCAGTGCACGTGGGGGCGGGCTTCACGTCAGCTCACGGCGCGCGCGGCCGGTCTGCCAGCATGATTCAACTGGGGTGCACTTTCAGCCCTGGGCTTTGAGTGCGTCACCGTTTGCGTCCCCATAGCACTCTATTTGACAATTTCTCATTGCATGCATACTCACAGGTCGTTATTTCTTACTCAGTACTCTTTTCGATTTAGCTGCTACGATTGAACCCCAACAACAGTGTCGTCTTGCGTTTCTTGCGTCAACCGGAATACCTCGTCC